TGAAGGAGGAGATGCTTCTGTCTCTGCGCGCTAAAACGTCCCAATGGGAGCTTAAGCGCCCAGGATATAGCGCTTGAGCGTCCTGGTGCGCGCTTAAGTGCCCATTTACACAGAAAGACCTGATGCTCTCTGCCTCCGTGCGCTTAAGCGCCCATATGGAGACTTTAGCGCCCGATAACGCGCGCTTGAGCGCCCTGTAGCGCGCTGAAGCGCGCGGGGCCTGTGTCCAACATACACTTTTGTTGCTCTAATTTGTCATAACGCGAGCTACGTTGCTCCAAATGAGACGCGGTTCGAAGCCACGCGTAGCTAATGATTAGAAGAAGACATTTAATAACATTTGGTCTAAGGATATAAGAGTATGATGTTAAGCTTAATTTATTTTATTCTGCAATGTAATACGGTTATGATCACGCACTTGGTTATCTTAAGTTCGACATGTTTTAAAAAGAAAAATTGGACCATATGATTGTAACTGCGCTTAATATCATAATACGATGTTAACAAACCGGTTCTAGAACGGGGTGTTACAGCATGAAGGAGGCCGGGGTGGTGGAAGAGATACAACGAGGCAGGTAGAGAGCCCTCAGCCTCTAGATAATAGACATTTGTTCAGAAACTCGAACGACGTATCCGGGGTCTATAGGAGGAAGTATCATAGGGGGCAATACAATGATAGTCCTTTCGTGGACGAGATTGTTGATGCACCCTTTCTAGAAAATCTGAATTTATCAGAGCTTGTCAAATATGACGGAACGTATGATCCTCAATTGATGTTGCGAGTTTACAAGCTTTCAATGTTTGGAAAGAGAAACTCACTACTGCACCTGACTGGATGCTTCCTTTCGAGCTCTTGTGTGACGCCAGTGATTATGCCATAAGAGCGGTTCTAGGTCAGAGGAAGAATAAGTTATTGCACCTTATTTATTACACTAACAAGGTGATTAATAAGGCTCAAATTAATTATACCATGACTAAAATGGAAATGCTAGCTATGGTGTATGCATTTGGCAATTTTAGTTCTTACCTGATAGGATCTAAATTTTTTGTATTTACAGACCATGCGCGCTAAAATACCTCCTGAAAAAGCAGGATACAAAGCTGAGACTTCTCCGCTGGATGCTTCTTTTACAGGAGTTCACACTGGAGATCCGTGATAAAAAAGGAGTAGAAAACTTAGTGGCGGATCATCTCTCCAGTATTCAGGAGAAGGAGCTCCACGATAGTCCGGATTCGTTATCAAAGAGGAGTTTCCTGATGAGCGGTTGTTTGCTGTGATCACCGTACCTTGGTTTGTGGGTTTCACGAACTATATAGCAATTGGAGCGCTTCTCGAAGATCTTACTTGGTAGCAACATAAGAAGTTTATGCACGATGTGAGGAGATATTTTTGGGATGAGCCATATCTTTTCTTTCATTGTGACGATGAGATCCTCAGACATTGTGATGAGTTCAGAGATATCTTGTGGAACTGTCATGGATCAGATTATGGTGGGCGTTTTGTTGGAAATAGGATAGTCGCAAAGGTTCTTCAAAGCAATTTTTATTAGCCCACATTCTTCAATGACGGCAGGTAGTCTGTGGAGACTTGTGATCGCCGTCAGAGGATTGGGAATATTTCTCGAAAGAATGAGATGTCGCTGAATAATATTCTTGAGGTTGAGATTTTTGACGTTTCGGGCATTGACTTCAAGGGACCCTTCCCCAAGTCTTATCGGAACTATTACATCTTAGTAGATGTGGATTATGTTTCTAAGTGGGTGAAAGCAGCTGCTCTCGAGACCAATGTTGCCAAGGTGGTTGTTAATTTCTTAAAGAAGAACATCTTCACTAGACTTGGAGTACTCAGAACTATTATCAGTGATGAAGGGACCCATTTTTGCAGCCGACAATTTCAATCTTTGCTTACCAAATATGGAGTTACGCACTGGGTTGCAACACCCTATCATCCTGAGACTAATGTGAAAGTGGATATTTTTAACAGAGAGTTGAAGCAGATTATGGAAAAAACCGTGGGAAGTTCAAGGAAGGAATAGTTGAAGAAGCTCGAAGATGTCTTATGGGAATGTAGGATTGCCTTCAAGACACCTATTGGCATGTCTCTATTTCAGCTACTTTATGGCAAGTCCTGTCACATTCAGTGGAATTAGAGAACAAGGCTTTTTGGGCAACAAAATTCCTCAATTTCGATTGTAAGACTGCTAATATGAAGAGACTTCTGCAGTTGGATGAGTTAGACGAATTTCGTTTGTCTGCGTATGATATTGCTTACATTTATAAAAAGAAGACTACGAAATGGCATGATAGGAAGATTATTCCTAAGGATTTTGAGCCAAGCCAAAAGGTATTGATGTACAATTCACGCCTAAAGCTGTTTTCTAGTAAGCTTAAGTCTCGTTGGTCGAGACCTTTCTTAGTCAAGCAGGTTTTTTTTGTTTTTGTACTATTAAAATTTCTACTCTTGACTCTAACCGTGCTTTCCAGGTTAATGGTTGCAGGTTGAAGCCATACCTCGGGGACCAGGATGATAAGGGAACAAGTTGCATTCTTCTTCTTCCGCAGTAGGCCATGTTACGTTAAACAAGCGCTTGTTGGGTTTAGCACATACCTATCTTCTCACTTCTCACACACTTTCCCCTCCCCATCCACACATCACCGGTTAAAAGGGTTGGGACATTATCCTCCACATTATTCTTCTTTCATTCGTGAGTTCCTCTCACCGAAGCACACCGCTTACTTTTGAGGTTTTTTTTGTCCTCAACAAATACAAGGTATGTGCTTTCATCTCTCTCTTGCCCAATCGTGAGTTATTATATGGATTGCATTATTTTGGTATGCTTGATGACCCCTCTCCTTTGATTTTCATGCCCAAAGAGTAAAAATAAAATAAAAATTGCAAATACAAATTTAGGGATTTTGAATTTGGGGGTTTAGGGCTATGATTTGGGATTTTGATGATTGGCTGTAGTGTTCTGGAAATTGAGAATATAAGGACCTAGGAATGAATTGAGTTGTCCGATTGCATGATGTATTTATACATGAATTACCAATTTGACACTGTCTAGAGGTTAGGAATTTCGATAATCTCGGGTTCCTCTTTGATTTTTATGCAAATTGGCTTTTAAACTCTTAAAATCAAATGTCTTGTTATTACGCTGTCAAATAGAATTCACCAATTCTCGAATTAGTTTCTTGACTTGCAGTGGATGTTATTGTTCGAATAGCTCATGCATTTACTGGTTTCTTGATATGTTCAGTGATACCATATAGTTGTGACTGATCAACTGTGGCATGGATTATTTGGTTATGCATCTTATAATAGCCCTAACCTAATTAATTAGCAAATAGCATGTAATTAAATAATTGAGCATGTTTTAGTGAGTAAAATTAAGTATAAGGCTTAATTAAATGAATCTGAGTCACTTTGGAGTTAAAATGTGTACTCAGTGAAAATTAAGGGGTATTAATGGGTGTAGGCAAAAGTACCCAAAATATAAAAATATAAATATAAATATTCCTAGAATAATATTCCAGACTTTTGGGTAAAGTTTAGTAATTAATGGAGTTGAATAGATAGATGAACCAATACCCACATGTTACCACTTAACCTATGTTAAGTGATAAAGTAACTAAAGAAAACCCATTTCCCCCCAGCAACCCGTCGAGCCAGAAGAGAAGAAAAGAAGAAGAAGGAGAAGGAGGAGAAAGGGAGAGAGAGAGAGAGAGAGAGAGGAGGGAGCAAATCCCAACCGATTGGAGTGATTCCAAAGCCTAAACCACTCTAAATCTTCCCCTCTTTCATAATCCTAGATTTGTTTTGAGTGGGGAGCATTGTGGAGAGGGATATTGGCTCTCAAAAATTCGCCCATTTGGTGAAATTTGGGGTTTTGAGTGCTTCAACCTCCATTGAAGCTTGAGGAACCATCAATCCTTGGTTGTGTGACCATTGGTGGTAAGATTCTAACCCTTGAACCTCATGATTCCTTGAAATTGCATGAGTTAGGGTTTATGAATAGTGTTTTAGGGTTTTTGATGAAATGTTGTTAAATTAGCTATGTTCTAGGAAGAATGGAACTTAGAGCATGTTGTGAAAAATGCTAGGAACGGCGTTTAATCGGTGAAAATGAGCTTAGATAGCTAAATGAGTATATTTGTAAAATTGCAAGAATATGATGTTGGATATTGGATTTCTTGCATTGTTAATAAATGGTTTGGTTTGGTTGGTTGTTGATTATGCCTTGGTGTTCTCTAGGATTGAGGCATTTGGACCAACCGTTAGTGATCAACCATTGGAGCAAGCTATGGAGCTTAATTAGCTCCATTGGATAGGTTTTGTTTGAGAAGTGAAGTATTGTAATTGACTGACTGTGGAACCTGTTGGTGGTGAACAAAGGTTGACTGAAGCATTGAGGTAACCCTTCGGACCTTGGGTGTAATTCCCTTGACTGTTCCACCAAGCCCTGAAAGGGTAGAGGTTGTGATTGTGTATATAAATGCAATAAAATAGTGTAATGCTTTGTTATACGTATGTGTATGCATTTGGTGTGGCATAGGATGGTGTTTCCCTATGTGGTATGTTGCATGACGATGCGTAAATCATACTTGGTAGTTAGCTGGCCAGTAGGACTATTTGCATCTGAGTTTCCTTAGGACAGCTTGAGAGCTCGAGGGATTTCTCCTGGAGATGTTTTGCACTTTGCATAGATATGTATTTACTGCATTATTATTGTTATTGCTATTACACTGATATGGAACTGTGGGGTGGAGAGATGCTCCAAGGACCTCTGGTTTACTGGATATATTGGTATATCTCACCCCGTGTTGTGGGGACCCCCTTTCAGGTAAGGATGCTGCAGGAGCCACCAGTGGCAAGTGGCCATATATGGATTAGCATATGCATGAGGATCCTATATTTTGATATTATACATGTTGTTTTGTAGCTCACATGTATAGGATTGTAAATCATAGACCATTGATAGATGTATGATTTGTATATTGGAATGGACTTAGCCTATGCTCATGACTTTGGTCATCTCTTTTGTTGATGGGAGCCAAGGGAATGATCATAATGTTTTGTAAGCTAAGTTCCATGAATTGTAATGAACATGATTTGTAATTGATGAGTACTTTAAGTTTAATATATGTATGTTCATTAAGTATTGGATTGTTGAACTAGAAACTAAATTAGGTACCTAGTGCTAAATTGGGAAATGTTGAGAAAACAAATACATCCTGTCCGTTTGACCAATTTTCACACCCAATGTGATGGAATTGGACTTTGATGTCTCTATGGAAGTTGTAGACATTTCTCTTAGCTTTCCATAGAGACCAAAATGGTGTAATTTGAGTGAGTATAGCTCAAGTTATGAGTGGAAAACCATAGGTAGGTTAAATGACCTTGTTTTGGGTCACCCAGCCCTGTGGATGGCACCTGGGGCGCCAGATTCACGTTTGGGGCGCCAAATTACGAGATCAGATAGTAGCATCCACGCTTGGGGCGCCAGATCCACGCTTGGGGCGTCAACTTTCTGTTTTCCCACGCTCTGGGCGTGGATCTCACGCTGCGGGCGCGGGGGTTCTGGAGGTTTCGCACCCTTTTCTTAGAAAATGCATAACTTTGGCTACGGTGCTCCGATTTGAGCGCGGTTTGAACCCACGCGTAGCTAATGAAGAATCCTACAATATAGTAGAAGTTGTGAAATAAATAGGAAGTAAATTAATGGTTTAAAAATGGAATAAGAACATGATGTTAAGCTTAATTTATCTGATTCCGCAAGGTAATACGGTTATGATCACGAAATTGGGTATTACAAATTCGGCATGTTTTAAAATGAAAAATTTATCCGGATTTTAATTGAACCCATGTGATTATAACTTCGCTTAATATCATAATGCGATGTTAACAAACCGGTTTTAGAACGGGGTGTTACACATCTTCGCTATTTTCTCTCAATTATCTATGACATGCTTAATGGTGTTGCCTTGGTTAAGTGGATCATAGTTGAAATTTGAAGCTTGTATTTATGTATGATTTTGATGTTATGATGTTGAGACAAGTTTCATACTCCCTACTTATTTTCCTAGATATCGATAAGCACTTGGGAGATGTCTGAAAATTGGACTTACCACTGCCGAGCAATTGCTTGAGACCTTCATTGCAGTTGGATTATGGTTATTGCATGAATGCGTCTGATTGGTCCACATGTGGCAATCACTGTTGATATTTTTCTGAGTTTACTGGTGCATGTGCTTATTCATAGATAGTGGGTCTGTTTTAGGATTAACTGTAAGCATGTGTTAGAAATAGAATATGGAGGGTGAGTGAGTTACTCATAAAATGTAACTTCTAATTTTATGGGACATCAAATTGATTTGGGAATATGCTAAGATGCCTGCTATACTGATTATATAAATGTGATTAATATGCTTTACTCATCTGTTTGCACATTAATTTTTGCTAGAAACATGACTATGTGCTTTTGCTTTTACTGGCTTCTTGGGCTGCTTAATTTTGGTGGGATATGTTGGAAATTTGTTTGGGGTATGCTTGCATGATAAATCTGGGAATTATCTACTTGTTAAGATTTCTTAGACTATTTTGCTGACGATTCCATCCTGAATTATGCACCAATGCTAAATCTGGGAATTATCTATGTCTATATTATCACTGATTGGATATTTTTTTGATTTTCAGCTATGGCACCCAAGAGAGCTAGGCGCACTGCTGACACATCTTCTAGTGCCGCAGAGAGGGCTTTTGATTCCACTCGCTTTCGGAGAGCGGATCACGCTAACAATAATAAGGTCATTCTCCAGAGCAGGATTGTCCATGAGAAGCAGGTGGAGCTCACTGGAGACTTGACCAGCAACATTGATGCTGAGATTCAGAGGCATGGCTAGCAGGAGCTGTGTTATTCGGGGCTAACCTCCAAGATCATCTTATAGGAGTTCTTTGCAAATGCTTTTTCTGTGGACGCCGACCATGACCACCGCATCTACATGAGCCATGTTAGAGGGACATTAGTACCATATGACCCGCAGACTATTCTGAGCATCTTGAAGACTCAATATGATCCTACAGTTTCATGTGATTTTGAGTGCTTGCTGCGCAGTTTTGACATACCATATCCTAGGTGGGTTCGGGAGCATGGAAACTATGAGTACTTCCTGGATATCATTGCCCAGCTTGAGATTAAATGGGAGATGACTCAAAGAAACCCATTATCCCCCAGGAGGACAAGTACGAGTTGTGCGACACATTCACCAACACATGATTAGCTTCAGTTGCTTCAGGCTCAGTGTCAGTATAACACCCAGTTATTTCAGCGACTTTATGACCACTTCTATCTTGATTACCAGCCCTTCCAGTCGCGACACCACCAGCGGATGATCAGGCCTCTTACTCTACTGATGGGAGCACTTCTTTTTAAGACTTTAATTTTCTTTTTTCTTTTTGTTTTGATTAGTGGTATTCATGGTGATGTATTTGACATTATTACCCACGTCTCTGTTGTGGGTCCTAACTCTGACACTACTGTTGACCTTTATTTGATGATACATGTTTCTTATTTTGTTGCACAGTTACTTCTTTTGGATGTTTATCGCTTTGACTTATGGCTAAGGACAACAAATGCCTAAATCTGGATATGGGGGCGCATCACCATAGTCCATACAATAGCATTCAGTATAGTCATGATCCCTGTCGCACACATAGTTATAAAATTTTTCAGATAAACGGGAAACTTTATTTTTACTTCTCCTTTTATTTTCTTTTCATTTTTCTTTCCTTCCCCTTTGATTGGTTTGCATTATGAATTGGGATTGTGCCAATAGAAAGTTGATAGGGGAATTATTTAGTGACTGTGATTCATAGTGTGATGGCTTATATCATGATTTGATTTTGTGAATAAACACTAATTAAGTAAGTATAAAAAGTTGGCAGGAATACTAGGATTACAGTTTCAGTGGTTGAGAGAACACAGTTAACTGAATCGCACACCCATAGCCATGAGATTTTTGAGCTTAAATAGAAAATTTATCTTTTTGGTGTGCACATCACTGTTGAAAATGCTCTAGAACTTGTTTAATTTCTCCTTTAAATGGTTGATGATATGCACTGTTGATATGATTGAGACACTTTTTCTTGTTTATCTACTTAGCCAAAAAGTCACCCATTATGTTATCCTTTGTTTAACCACTTCGAGCCTAGACATGTTTCTTTCTGAATAACCAATTGTCTTGATTAGACACTTCACACACATGTCCACCTGTATTAGGATTAGAATGCAGATCTATCATGGTAAGGTTAGAATGGGTATTCTATCATGCGTTGTTTGGTGGTGAAAAAAACTGTCAAATGATGTGAGTAAAAACAAAGGTTGAAAAATGGGGAATAAAAAAATATATTTTGTGTTGTCCCTTTAAATTCTGTGCAAGCAAAAGTATCGAAAAAATATATATTGAAAAAGAAAAAGAAAGAGAAAATGAAAAAGAAAAAGAAAGTTTTGGGGTTGAAAAAGAAAAGAAAAGGCAGAAAAAGAAAAAAGAAGAAAAAAGTAAGAAAATGAATGTGAGCTGAAAATTTAACTGTGTTTATGCCCTGTTGTGTCTACTTTCCAGTACTTTAGCCACATTTTCCCTTGTTTATTCTTCCATTAGCCAAGCCTCATTACAAGCTGAGTAAAGACCTCTTGATCTTTTGTGCATGTTACTTAACTGTGGAAAGTGATAATATAACCAAGTCTATGGTAGTATTGATTTAGTGAATGTTTGAGTGATACATTTACCCCATAATACACTTGAGTGATGAGTGAAATGGCGATTCCAGTGAGGGGTGTATATAGATTCAGTTCTCTGTGCTTGATTGATAGATCTCTTGTTGTGGTTCTATGACCTGCTTGCTTTCAGAACTGCTTGATTGGATGCTTGTTCTTAGAATTTTGTTGTTTTTATTGAGTATGATCACTGATGGATTAAGTCACTGTTTGGTTCTTTTATTTATGATTCATTGGGCACAAGATTTATACTTTTGAATTTCCCACATTTTTGAATTAATCCATTGCTGGGGACATCAATGTTCAAATCTGGGAATGATTTGTTAAGTGTCAAATATGTTATGTCTTTAGGACCAAAAAATATGTTAAATAACGTTAAATACAGTCAAAGACATAATAAATATTGTTAGATGCAAAAGGCTTTTCTAGTTTTCGTTCTTTGTAAGATACTAGCTTTAATTTGGGATGCTGGTGTAGGATTCTGACTTGATTAATTGCTAGATTTTGCTTGATATAATGATAGACTCGTGGAATCTATGACTCTTTTGATTCTTCGTTCTTAATGCTTACCCTAGGCGGGATCATTAAGGGATTAGGGTTCTTAATAGGGTAAAAAATTGAAACATCAAGGGATTGAGTTTTAATAATCTTGAAGAATTGTCAATAACATGAGATTGAAAGCCAATTGCAGGAAATGGTAGATTCATTTAGATAAAATTGGAGAAATCGACACCCTAGCTACGTTTGCATCATTAGAGTTAATCCGTTTGAGAATCTGAGTTCTTTGTTCTTGTTCTTGATAGTTCTTTGATAGATTCAGTTTTAGTTTTATATTTTAAATCATATTCCTAACAACTTTAACGGTTGATCCAACTTTGGTCGCGTAGTGAACTTAATACTTGATAGATCAATTCTTGTGGGAACAATAACTCTACTTATTACTTTATTACTTGTACGACCGATATACTTGTCGTGATCGTAATATTTTACGATAAAATTTACAAAATTTTGTGCCACGTGTCATGAAATAACAGACTGCCAAACTCGCAGTTAGTGGCAACGAGTTTAGACAAACTGATTGCCACTGACGGCGAGTTTGGTGGCCTATCGTTTTGTGCCACATGGCATTTGGAACTCGCTGCCATTGATAACAAGTTTACCACCGTGACATTTTGGCAAAATTTTGCAGTAGCGTGACATTTAGGTAATTTTTGGAAAAACATGGCAACATAGTCAAAGTCCCTACTTTTCTCTCTTTAGCCTCTTGATTTTTCCCCTTATAATTTCACATATAACAAAAATTGTCAAAACACTGTTATTCTTTAGAGTGAATTTCATCCAACATAATATAGCAAGTCATACAATTTTTGCTGAAGTGGTCACAGACAGGGCATCATAAATCGTTGACGTAAAAGTCTAAACTTTAATCGTAAACGGCAACAAAATTAAATCCAGTATCAAGGTCGAATTCATGACAATTAAATATCATGTAATATGCTTGCTCGCACGCTCATTGACTTAAAATAATGTCATTATAATCATTGCAAAAGTATCTTCCTTAACTAGTCTTTAATCACCAGGTAATGAACTGAACATATTATTTTAATAATCATCAAACGGCGTAGAAATGGTACTAAATAACTGTTCAAATTAAGATGCAATATAGAAACCATAAAATAAATTGCTTCTTGGGAAATCAAGATCTGCAAGTCATCCCAAAAATTTCTAAAATCGTTATCTTCATCTATTCAATATCCTTTAGTGCTTGCTTAACCCAGTACGTGCTTGCTTACCAAATTCAATATCTCATCTATTTCAGCCTTCCTAATAACAACTCAACACATACTAAATTCAGCTTGATGATACTCTACAACAATAATTTTTTAAGCCATCTGAGCATGAAGCACGACTCCTTCAACCCTCTATCAAATAACATACTAGTGTATGTGGCCACGCTGTTGATGAACCTGACCGTTGTCCTTATTCACACCAATCATTCTCCAGTATAGTATAACCTTCAATTCCAATCCATAATTTGTTATTACATGTGAACTATATATGATGTTTGTTATGGACTGGCCTTATCAACACTGTCCTATGGGCTGATCCTTAAGAGCACGTGCTTGGACCTCTGATTAAACCTAGGTTCCTTGACTTGAGCTATAGCACGTAGTACTGTATTAGACCACTCATGCTAAGAACGGTTGGTTTCAGACATGAAAAATAGAATTGAGAAATGAACTAGTCATATATGATTGATGTATGACAATACAACTTATAAAACAAAATAATAAAAAAAAACTGCTCACTAGTCAGTCACTACTACATAACTTCTCATCAAAGCAGAAAAGAAAATTGGCCACTACATAACTACCCATTAAAACAGAAAAATAAACTGTCCACTACCTAACAATTCATTAAAACAGAAATAAAAATTGACTCCTAAATAATTAAAAATATCAAATTGCAGTTTCTAAAGCATGATCTGAACCATCCCCAATATTTCTTTGATCGTTATCTCATCTATTCAATATCCTTTAGTGCTTGCTTACTAGTACGTGCTTAGCATTGCTTATTAACAATACGTTATTAGTAATTATATAGCATTAAACTTTCAGCCTTCCTAATAACACCTCAACATATTCTCAACGCAGCTTGATGCTTCATGCAACTTTGATAACTACTTTAGTGCGCTAGCTAGCTACACTACGTCAAGAATTTTTTAAGCCATCTAAGCATGAAGCACTCCTCCTTCAACCCTCTATCAAACAACATACTAGTGTGTGTGGCCACACTGTTAATGAACCTGACCTTTGTTCTTTTTTTTTTTTTTTTGAAAGATACCTGACCTTTGTTCTTATTCTTACCAATCATTCTCCAATGTAGTATAACCTTCAGTTTCAATCCTCACTTTGTCATTACATGCGAACTATATATATATATATGGGTTAGGATCATTTTACACCAGTGTAAGTTACACTCTTAATCTTGTCCACTGATCCCATTTATATCTAAGGGCTCAAATTTTTTAGTAATGTGAGCCATTGGATACAAGTGGATCAATGGTCAAGATTGAGTGTAAGACTTCTAACTCTTACACCAGTGTAAGAATATCCTGCCTCTATATATATATATATATATATAGACCTTACAATTTGTAGCATTGGAAACAAATCATAATAGAATAAAAAACAACTAGTAATGGAAGCTCCTAGATTAGTTGTAGTCTTATCTTCCTTGCTGCTTCTCTTAACTAGTGCACAAACAAGCTCTGCTCAACTTGAAGAAGTTCCAACAGACCTTACTCTCGGTTTCTACAACAATATATGCCCCAATGTGGAACAATTGGTTCGCTCTGCTGTGGTGAAGAAGTTCCAAGAGACCTTTGCGACTGCTCCTGCCACTCTACGACTCTTCTTCCATGATTGCTTTGTGCAGGTATGTAAGCCTTCTTCATTATTTCATGCATGGTTTTGTTTTAAATGATGTTAATTACCATAATGATTATCGCACAAAACTATTTAGTGCTGATTCAATTCAAATAACTCTGACTTGAACATTTTTTGCATTCACCAATCTACTCAAAGGAGCATTTATATCATTAATTACTCCATGGTTTTTATTTATTAGGCTTTTGAAACAGGGTTGTGATGCTTCCATTTTGCTGGCATCTCCAAATGGTCAAGCAGAGAAAGATAATCCTATTAACCTTTCATTAGCTGAGGATGGCTTTGACACGGTGATTCAAGCTAAAGCAGCAGTTGATAGTGATCCTCAGTGCACAAACAAAGTCTCTTGTGCTGATATACTTGCTCTTGCTACCAGAGATGTTATAAATTTGGTATTATTTCACTTTTGCAGTACTTTTATTTGCTACGTGAAGTTATTGATAAATTAGTTAGTTTTGTAATCCAAATTTTTGAGACAATTGCATAATGTAGACTGGGGGACCATTTTATAATGTTGAATTGGGAAGGCGTGACGGGAGAATATCTACTATTGCAAATGTTGAAGACCATCTTCCTCAACATTACTTCAATTTGGATCAGCTCATTTCCACGTTTAGCTCCAATGGTCTCTCCCTTGTAGAAATGATTCCAATATATGGTAAACTTCACTAACATAAAGTTGTAAGGTGCTGTTATTTTATTAATCAAGCCACTTTTCACCAAATGATTGAACGGTACTTTTTAACATTTTGATTTTTTTTTTTTTTATATTACTAGGAGCCTGAAAATGATTTTGTTTTGTGTTAGGTGCACATACAATTGGACGGGCTCATTGCAATGTCATGTCAAAACGAATCTACAACTTCAGCACCACAAATAGAATTGACCCAACACTAAATTTACAATATGCCACGCAGCTTAGACAAGAGTGTCCTCTAGGAGTTGATCCTAGAATCGCCGTAGACATGGACCCTGTCACACCTCAAAGATTTGATAATCAGTACTTCAAGAATCTGCAGCAAGGAATGGGTCCAAGCACTTCTGATCAGGTGATGTTCACAGATGAAAGGTCAAAGGATTTAGTCAACTTATATGCATCAAATGAAGAAGCTTTTAGGAGTGCTTTTGTTGATGCTATTACTAAGATGGGAAGGATAAATGTTAAAACTGGAAATCAAGGTGAAATAAGGATTGATTGCAGCAAAGTGAACTAAGAAAGTGCAATGGTGGTGATGGTGTCGTGCTTTGGAAAAATGCTTGTTGCATTACATCAAAATTCACATCATCCCATACCTGAGTGTGATATTATAGAATGAGAGTGGATGTTTAAAAAAGTACAAGTGTAGTTGCAATAAGATGGTGAGAACCATGCAGATATGAGGTATTGTGTGAAAGTATGTGTGGGTTGCTATTCTTATTTTATGTTTTATATATGAATCCTGTATGTTTGCTCTCACTCCTACTCTTGCGAGTGATTATATGAATCTTGTATGTTTGATATTTCCTAATTTAATCAATAATTGATGGAGTTCTATCAGCTGTACTCATGGCTTCATGTGTCCTCGGGAATGAATGCAAAAGGTTGTTACAAATAAAGAAAGTGACAATAATTCTTTTGCCAAAAGGTTAAACTTACTATCAAATCATAATCGTTCATTTCCGTCAACTTATTAGTTATAATTTATTAAAAATTAAAAATTAATTAATAAGTATGACCCAATAAATTATAACCGTTATATTGACATAAATCAATAGTTAAGATTTAGTAATAAGAGATAATAAGTATAACCTCCGCCCTAAACAAAATATAGAAGAATCCACAACTTATTCATACGATTGCTTTGAAAGAGATTAAAAACCCAAGAAAAAGAGAGAGTGAGTTTTGAAGGCATATCTATTTAATTAATGAATTTGAATATCCTCACCAAAAAAAAAATTGAATATTATAAATCAAGAAACTTTTTGAAGAAAAAATTATGGGTAAAATTTTTTTCCTGTCAATGGAGATAAGTTATTTCCGGTGAATCCAAAATTATGTCGGTCGAAAATCAAGATATTTTTATAATTCTAATATATTGCAGGGTTATATTAGTTTTTATAATTTTAATTTTTTAATCTTATAACCCTAAAACGACGTTTTTTTGAACTCACTGGATATAACTTTATCTCCAGTGACTGGAGAAATACTTTTTCCAAAAATTATATAAGGAAATTGATATTTTTACTAATTTATCTTCACAAACCTCTCACTTTTATAAAAGTAATTGAATAACAATTTTATTTACATTTTACAATGTTCAAAATGAGTTTATTTTAAAGTATGTAAATAATACGATAAATTTTTTGTTGATAATTAAACTTTAAAAGTAATTCCATTACATATTATCAACTCAATTTTTTTAAACTACAATTTTATATTCTAACTGAAGCAGACATTGAATTTCAAACTGCGTTATTTTTTTTCGCCTTCGATTCTAGACTTTAAGACATTTTTGCATCATGATTAATAAAAGAATTAAACCCAAACTGTTAATTCGACTATAAAACGGATGATCTGGCCAGTTATCTAGTCTCTTTTACTCTCTAGCCCAAAAAGCTAACGAAGCAAGATTCGGCCAATTTAGTCCGAAACCTATAAAATCAATGGTGAACTAGTTTGAGTCTCTTTTTAAATACTTTAATTTTTATAAAAATATTTTTTGAGTTAAATAAAGGTCTAATATCAAATTACAAAGGTCCTCGTACACATATAAGCAATGCATGAAATGAGCTCTTAGGTTTTATTTATGGAAAATATTTTTATCTTGTTACATGAGAAATTTTATCTTACGTACACACATCGAAATCCGATTCAACATTTCTTTTTCTTTTTTCTTTTCTTTTAGGGTTTGTTTTTTCTAAAGTTACTTTAGATAACTTTATCTAATGTTCATCGAAACGACGTCGTTTTGGGACGGAAATCATGGTCTTTTTGTAATTTTAATTTATTTCAGGGTTATAATAGTCCTTATCATTCTAATTTTTTAATTTTTCAACCTCAAAACGACGTCGTTTCGATAAACATTAGACAAAGTTGTCTAAAGTAACATCGAAAACTTTTTTCCCTTTCTTTTAATTGTGGGACCTACCTAATCATGTCTCTACATAAGATAATGTTATCTCATGTAACATGAGAGAAGCATTGCACTTTATTTATATTATAGGATTGGATATTTCATTCGCACCGTTTGGATATCTATGGATCGGAATTATGTAACAAAAATACTTAGTTCACGATTTTTAACATGAAAAGAAATTGAAAGAGCAAAACTAAATTATTCTATTTGATTGCTTCATAGGCTTTACAATCCAACCATATACTTCACATTTAGAACCCAAAATAAGACACTCATCATCCTAACTTCCAATAAAACAAGATTGTCGTAGAATGCTAAAATAGCTGTCATACAATAAACCCAAAACCGTCGTGGAATGCCAAAAAACCGTCGTGAAATAATCAAAACCATTGTTGAATACCAAAAAACTGTCGTGGAATGATTTGTTAAGAACCTTGAGGTCACCACCTCAAAAGCTAGCTCAAGGGGTGGGAGTGCCCAAGGCCTTATAAAGGCCATATTAGTTACCCATCCAATCAATGTGGGACTAATATATCTCAACACGCCCCCTCACGCAAGAGTCTTTTAGGCTAGAAGCGTGGAAATTGCACAGGCCCATTTTTGGTTTACCCTTTTGTGCTTTTTTTTATTTTAATTCCACTTTTTAAAGCGGGGGACGGTGAGGCTCCGATACCATGTTAAGAACCTTGAGGTCACCACCCCAAAAGCTAGCTCAAGGGGTGGGAGTGCCCAAGGCCTTATAAAGGCCATATTAGTTACCCATCCAATCAATGTGGGACTAATATATCTCAACATGATCATCCAACGACGGTTTAGTCACTAACTATAATAACCCTAATTATATGACTTTTAAATTAGAGGGTTATGATGAGGACTTTATGGTCATAAATAGAATGAGGATGAAATTCTAAGAATTTTGATATCCATATTGAGGGTATTTTGCACAGATAAATTTTCATCTGTTAATTTTGACTGCTGACGTATTAATAGTCAGTAGAATAGCTCCAAGTTAGTAAATTATAGTTAGAAAGCTAATCTAATGATATAAATATCATGAATGAGGTTAGGATATGATTTGATGAAGTTTAATACCCATATTGAGATATTTTGGAAAAGTCACTTCTGCCGGGTATTTTGCACTGCTGTAGAAGCAGCCGGTAGAATCGCGGAACGAGAAAAAGATGAGAAAATGGAAATAAAGACCAATATATGCCTAACAAGTCATAATTAGACCAATAATGTTAAAGTTAAGAAGATTATGAAATCCGAGTACAGTTAAGAACACCGGTAAAGACTACAGTGCAATTAAACAACTGTTAGTGGATCTGTGATCTACTAATCAAATTTTTAAGTTATGAACATGATAATTAGACAAAATTAATGTTAAGTACTTAAAGTTAGAGTCTTGGAGGTTTCCGGGTAAAAAATTTGACGACGGTTCAGATAAAAATTACATCGGATCTCACTAAAGGACAAAGTGTCACTAAAGTGACATGACACCCCTAATTAGGGAACCATCCCTTCCTTCTCCCTTCAGATTTCTGAGCCTCCAACCTCTCTCTAAAATTTGAAATTCAAACCTTGCTCTCACTTCTCTCTAAGATTTCTCCTCCAAAACCTCTCCAAATCACTAAACCTCCTTCGCAAAGATTGTTCCCCTCACTCTCCTCTTCATAACCATACCATTTTTATGGTGTGAATCAAATTTTCGTGGTCATTTCCTTCATGTACAGCCACGGTTTTTGAAGCTCCAAGGGCCATGGAGTTGTGTTCTTGAGTTCTCTTGAAGAATAACACTTGTGTGCTTGGTTCTCTTGATTTTTTGTGTAAGTTTCCTAAACTTTTCTTGAAAAATCTCATCTTTTTCTCTTGTGTTCATGAGCTCTAACTCTTGAACATTTTCTTGAATGTGTGTTCTTGTTTAAAGGAGCGTTCTTGGTGGTAAAAGGTGGAGCTTGGAGTCAAATGTGTGAACTTGAAGATGTAAGCTTCACCTTGGGAAAAGATGACCCAAAAGCCTTCCTTTCTCCTTTTGATGCCACGGTTTTTGTCTAGTGGGTGGGAAAATATTGTTGAAAAATTTGTAAAGTAATGGTTTTGATGATTGTTCTTGAGGGTGTGAGTTTTGAACCATGAAATGGGTGGTTTGATGAGTAAAGGTGCAACCTTTGGATCCTTGAGTGGGTTTCATGGAAAAGAATGAACTTGAACCCTAAAGGAGGCACATGATGGTTCAGCCATCTCATGATGAACAAGGGTTTGATGACTAAAAAATATTAACAAGTGGTTAAGTGTGGAAATATTCCAAGAGAAACTAAGAAAGACTAATTAAGTTGATTAGCTTTAAGTGAAACCTATTAATTTTGATTAAGGATGGCTAAAAACTCTAATGAACATTACTAATCAAATTTTCCCTCTTTGATATAATGTGGATTAGTTGTGTTAAAAATAAGGAAATCATGGATTAGTAGATTAAATAAGTGTAGGTATTAATTAACTAAAGAAATGACTAAGAAATAAGCTTAAAAATACTTATTTGAACACTTATGCAATTGGGCCATGTAGGTTTAATTTAGGTTCACTATGTTACAATTAATATTAAGACCTAATTAGAACATTAATCTAGTGGTTAAGTAAGGTGGACTATGCATAATACACTAATTAAATCTTAAACCCTAAAATTGGACTTAATTAGGGTTTAGGAGCACTAATCAGGCAATTAGTGAACTTGTGTTATCATGACATAATGTGACTAAGTGGGATTTCATAATGTGACCTAATAATAGAAAATTCCAAGAATTAAGGTGACTTAGAGTTGCTAACTGTAAGAACCCGCACCGTTAATTAAGGTATTTAATTAATTAATTATGCAAAATTAGGAAATAATTTCATAATTGACCCTAATAATTATTAAGAGGCTTTAATAATTATGGTAAGTGATTAAGAATGCTGAAAGTCTCTTTTCGTAAGAAAAGTGCAGATACCGGTTCTGCTAGTCGGTATAAATGCGTACCTAAAAAGTATCCCGGAAAATTAAAGTAAGTGCATGATAATTACTAGAATAATATGTAGAACTTGTAAAACGAGTTTCAAGTCCA